GGGGAGGGGAAGGAGAAACAGAAAGAAAGAAACCAGCAGCTCTAGACCTAGAACATGGGACTCCTGGTCATGAATCAAAAGACAACTTGCGCAACCAGGATCCAGGGTAAGGCACCCGGACAATACCCAAAGCACCGAAAATGCAATTCCTGTGTGTGTTTTTTCCTAAAAACAAATAAAAAGCTAAGTTTACCCCTTTGATCTGCTCACTTAGGCATCAGTCAGCCTACCCTCCTGTGTTCTACCTCAGTCATCTACACCGGGCACCGGACCAGCAAGTGCTACCCTTCAGGGCCTGCTCTCTCACTCTGGCACAGCCGCGGATGGCGGAGGTGGCCCGTGTGCTCCTCCTGCGTGGGACGAGCTCCTCCTGACTGCTGAGCCGGGCGGGGGCTCGCACCAGGGAAGCCCGCAGCCCCCAGTTCCTTCTGCTTACCCTGAAGTTAAAGTATCCGTGGTCTTGACAACTCTCTTGTGACAAATGACTCAGACAACGGAGCCCACTGACTGCTGTTCGTTTGTTTCTGCCCCAGCTCCTCTCAGTATGAGCCGCCTCCCCTCTAAAGGACGGGTGTCCCTTTCCGGGAGCCCATGGGTTGGCACTGAAGCAAGACCAGGCTCAACAAGCCGACAGACCCCGGGGGTTTAACCTTCCTGAACGCCATGTGCCACCACCCCGAAAGCCCCTGTTTCTTCTAAGGTACACACTGGCCCCGCCTCTGGAGGTCCTCCCAGAGCCGACCTCCCGCACCACCCAGTCCTTAGGTCGGGCTGCGGTACCCAGAGAAAACCATGCCAAGCAAAAGGCGCACACACTTTCAGTTTTGCTGTGAGGAACTAACTGTGGGAGCCACCTCGAGGGCCAATGTGAGCCTCTTAAAAGCGTGAGTGAGAAACAGAAGGGGCAGAGGCAGAAAATGGAAAGGATTCAAACAGCTGCACCTGCCACCACAGATGGGGTTCTTTTAGGACACAGCCCAAATGACACTGATATGACCCAAATGACACTGATATGACAGACTGACCCAAGTTACACGTCTAACTCACCCACTCTGCCATAGCACCCAGAGGGAAGGGCGATCTGGATGTCCGTCTTCACAAGAGCTTTCTCCATGGGTGGTATCGTGCAATCATAGGCGCTAGGTATCGAAAGCAGGCACTGGGATTTACTTATAGGATCATTTTTACTTTTTCTTGGTGACATAGCACATGGAAATACTTTAAATATATTTTGTAAAGTAACTCATACAACTTTAGATGAATTTCTAATTCATTCAATTTTGATGAATTTCTAATTCATCTGAAAATGTTTAGGAAGGTACAAGTAGATATTTTGTTTTACTTTTACTGGTAAAATTACAGTTGTAGATAATATAATCGTCAAAGAGGGAACAATGCCAATATCGTGTTTTTGTTCCTGAATGTAACAGAAAACTGAGACACTCCTTAGTAGGAGGTGGTAGGAAAGCAGATCTTCAAAAGTGTACGCTGCCCCAACATGGTATGAAAACAAGAGAAAATGAAGAACTAAGGAAAAAGGGCAAATAATAACTAACACTGACGAGGCCCTTCCTTCGGCTAAGCACATTCTTGTTTTCAGTCCCCTCCCCCGCAGGAGCGGAGCAGGAGACCGAGTGCTGGGATTACGGATGTGTGGCAACAGCATTTCTTTTCTTTAAATAAAATAGGTAAACTCTAATTTACTAACGGTATCAGTGCTGGGCATGGTGGTGCAGGCCTGTAATCCCAGCGCTCAGGAGGCTGAGGCAGGAGGATCACAGCAAGGCTGAGGCCAGCCTGAATTAAGATCCTGTCTCTGGCTTTGGTCTTTTGTTCGACACCCGCTCCCTGCCAGGGCCACTTTTCACTACCTCAACGCTTCTCAGAACGCCCCGCCGGAGTCCATTGAAAAAAGCACCAAATTCAGAGGGAGGCAGCTCGACGGCATCCCCGCCCCGGGGCCAAGCACCCAATCCCTCCACAAACTCCCCGCTCTCCCACGTCGGGGCCGCAGCCAGGTCACGCACCGCGTACGGTGCGGGTGAACGGAGGTGCCGTGCAATGGAAAGGACGGCCCGGGTTCGCGCTCCCCGGCCCGGGCGGCCGCTCTCGGCCGAAGCCCCGCGGTCCGACGCCCGCTCACCTGTAGAGGTCGTAGCCGGCGGCGCGCGCGGAGCCCCGCGTCGGGGCCGTGGCGTGCTCCGACAGCCGCACGAAGCGCAGGCGCAGCGCCGCCTCGGAGGGCCGGGCCCGCTTGCTGGGGGACACGGCGGCGGTGATGTCTTCGGAGCAGGGCATTGCAGGGAGAGGCGGACAGCAGACGGAGCAGGGGGCACA